GCTCACCTAAGTTAATACCTTTTAACCCGATTCTTCATTTCATCAAAATTGGAGCTAGCTGAAAAAACCAGTCGGCATCTAAAGACGAGGGACTACATAAGTGCATCTTTGTGTGAACTTTAGTAGCTTAGTACATGATACTTGCTCGACATATTCATATTCTTGTTGACTACAAATTCAAGAATCATGTACTGAAGAAGCAGATTTGGAGGGGCGGAAGGGTTCGCCGAAAAATTACACTGTATATATAAGACAAAATCTGTTTTTGTACTTCTAGATATTATGTTTTGAACCCCCTTGACATAGTTGAAAAGCATAGCTTAGTGGCAAAGGGTTTCAAAACCTTTATGAGGTCATTGGTTCAATTCCCATTGGCTACAATCTCTTTTAAACTTTTTAAACTTTTTTCTTTGTTGAACCCCCCTTAGCGAAAATTCTGTCTCCGCCATTGGCAGTGAGGCTAACATTTCAGGAAACTGTACGGGAAAAAGATACTGCATGAACCTATGTTTGGCAGTAACATGTCAAAGACCAGTAAATTATTACCTAGCAAAGATAGGCTTTAATCTGCAGATAAAATAGGATAAGGTATAGGAAAAAATTGTCACAGAGACATCATTTAATACCTTTATGTAATATAACTGCATTATGTAACTATTGGATTTTTACGTTCTAAGTAACCATGCCCACTTACATATACAGTTCCCGACTCTATATACCTTGGGGCATGTCAGTTCAAATTCCTTATTTTACAAGGAGTATTTCACTTCAATTTTTCTCGACTGATCTAAAAAATTCCGTTCAAGTACCTATTTATATAGTACTCCCTCCGTTTCAAATTAGATGAGGTACTTTCCTTTTTAGTTTGTTCCACAATAAATGACACATTTCTAAATTTGGAAATAATTCAATTTTAGTGCCCGTTTGGACATAAGAAATTTTTCCCCCTTTTCCAAAAAAATTTCACTTTTTTCCAAAATCAGCGTTTGTTCATAAAATTTCCAATTTTCACTTGAAGATGTATTTTGGAAATTGTCGAAAATCTGAAAAACTCCAAAAGGTTGTTTTTCAAAATTTTCACTCAAATCACTCATAAAACTTCAAAACAACCCAAAATTATATTCATGTCCAAACACAACTCTAAATTTCAAATACCATTTTCACTTGAAATTTTTTTTCCCCTAATTTGAAATTTTACAATTGTTATGTCCAAACGCCCACTTAAACTCTTCATTTTACCCATTTTACCCTTAATGAGAAGCTTTTATAACCACACAAATGTCATGGTCCCACAAAGCTTTTATCCATTAAGCTTTTAAGACCACACGTTTCAAAAGTTTATTTTTTTTCTTAAACTCCGTGCCGAGTCAAACTACCTCATCTAACTTGAAACGGAAGGAGTACTAAAAGATGCTTCGAGTGAATTGTTGGAGTACACGACATACTCCACCTTAACCTCCACGTAGGTTAGTAGCAGCTAAAACTTTTAGTGCTAACCTAAGTTAATGCCTTTTAACCCGATTCTTCGTTTCATCAAAATTGGAGCTTACTGCAGAAGACCAGTCGGCATCTAAAGACGAGGGACTACGTAAGTGCATCTTTGTGTGGACTTTAGTAGCTTAGTGCATGATACTTGGTCGACATATTCATATTCTTGTTGACTACAAATTCAGGAATCATGTACTGAAGAATCAGATGCTTAATAGTAAATTTAAAATGAAATATGTGGTGGACAGTAGTTCTGATTTGTCTTGTTGAAAGACTTCTTTTCTAGTTTGACTTGTTGTACTACAATTTGAGTCATCCTGCACCTGGGCCCCAAACAGAGAACAGTCAGGGTAAGATACGTCCTCACTTCTCCATTTAAATATCAGGGATCCAGATTGACTGCATTCGAGTTGGTTCATGAGAACATTCCAGCCACCCTTATAGCAGATTCAGCTGCAGCTGCATTGATGAATGCTGGTCGGGTGAAAGCTGTCATTGTTGGAGCTGATCGTGTAGCGCCAATGGTACATATGACTTATGATTCGCATGGGCCTTTTCCTTTTAGAACCACCGTTTTACAGGAGCTTTAAATCTCATTGCAGGTGATACTGCCAATAAGATCGGAACTTACAACCTTGCTGTTTCTGCTGTGCATCATGGTATACCATTTTACGTTGCTGCTCCTTTGACTTCTATTGATCTATCTCTTTCTTCCGGACAAGAAATTGTGATAGAAGAAAGATCTCCGAAGGAGCTGTTACATACACGAGGAGGACTAGGTGAACAAGTTGCTGCCTCTGGTATTTCGGTTTGGAACCCTGCATTTGATGTCACTCCAGCAAATTTGATTAGTGGAATTATCACTGAAAAGGTCAGCAATTGTATATCTGCCTTTGTTTCCCATTGTTCTATCTATCCTTATACTTGCACTGTCTATATTTGTGTGCTTATAACCCCATGCTTTTTATGTTCTGGCAAATATCAAATTACTACCCAAATGATAAAATTGACAAGTGACAACTATTTGAATAGGGTGTCATCACGAAGAAGGGGACGGACACATTTGATATTGCTGAGTTTGTGCGCAAGACATCTGGAAATTGGTGATGCTGGTTTTATTAAAAAAAAATTCAATTGGTACTTCTTGACTTTGCTAAATTCCTCGCATCATACAGTAAGCTATCAGTAGTTCCGTACTCAGAAGGCAACATCTATTGCACTTCAATAATTGTTATGCATTGTGGTCCTATTAGAGCATGGGAGAAATGTATAACTATGGAGCTTTTTAATGAAATAAACCCATCTCCCTTTGGCGTCGGCATTGATCCATGAAAATATTTGGCAATTTCAATATTGGGTATTTTTTCCATTTTCCTTTCCTTTTCTTATTCGGGAATTTGAATTTCACAAAATCATCCTCAAGATGAGCCAAATGCTACATTCTCATGTAATCACAAATTTGAAGTTCTGGACCACCATTCGCATGAAATAAACAAGGATTTGTTGGCCCTAAATTACAGTTTAGGATGGCGCCATTTTCTAATGAAGATTTTTATTTAACTAGTGGTGCGGGAATGGGCAAGGCAGGTGGCAGGCTGAGTTGGAGGTACGAAGGCTTACATGGCAAGCTAGTCCAGACACCACGGTTATTAAAAAACAGCTTAAATAATTTCCCTTATTCTAATGCTGTTCTATATATACTTATATTAGAATTGCTGTCCCTGTTGTGACTTCATTGTCAATGTTACTCCTATTCTAATTATTTTAATTCGCCAATGAGCATTCGTACAGAAGGGTTGGGAAAAAAGGTTTTACCTCATTTGAAATGAAATGCCTTTGCAGTCATAGAAGCTCATGACTTGTTTAAGATAACAAGTTAGTAGTCAAACTCTAGGCACTGGAAAACTTTTGCATCAATGGGGACAAGAAAGAAAATTTGTCTGCTTCTATTATCTTCAGGCCGATTATCACTTCTAGCACACCAATATTGGTCCAGTGCAGGGCTCTTGTTGTATCTTCAGCAACTTGTTCACCTAGTGTTAATACATATACTCTCATAACTTTTGAACCATTAAATCTTCTGTCATGTTGGTTTGGTAAGTTTGAAACCTAGTGTTAATACATATACTGTCAAATGCAGATATAGGAAACTTTATACATATGTGTGGAAAAATTAAGAACTAGACATATAATAAGATTACACTCATTTTGAACCTACTAAATCTTGAATTCGCCTCTGCATACACCCCTTTATTTGTTGAGGATAATATACATATGACTAGTGACTCAAATGTTTTTTTTTTCCAGTACATTTTATAAAGCATAACACTTTTCCGAGTTTAGAAAATCAAGTTTAACTATTATGCTTAGCTTAAAATCTTCGGAAGACTTTGCTGGTCTTCCATGTCAGAGCATCTAGTTCTGCCATTTCCTTTTACCGACTCTGTGGAATTGCCACTGAAGGTTGACTTGTATCATACATTATGTACTAGATATGCACAGATTATAATGTCAGAATTGTTATTCAGTTAATAATAATGTATAAATTATTATGGGGGTATTGCTTATCTTAGGGATATATTTTGTATTTAGTTCTTCTTAACTATGTAGTGCTAATGAATATATTCTTATTCCATATACTATCCCATATAAAATACTAGTCCACAACTCTCCCATATAACTCATTCTAAGTATTAACAATGAGCCCAACCAAACGTTGTTTTAAGCTGTGCAACAATTATTTTTCTTGTACCAACCAGCTAAATATCGCACTACAACTTATGCAAAATATTATGGTGCGATTATTATTGTTAATACGATGAACCAAATGATCTCTAAGTACATAACTTTCACATGTGACAATAGCAATCTTTCATTTTGTTTTCCAACATTTCATTTATTCCTCAAGCTTCAACATCAAATAATCTTAATAATGAGGGTTCTAAAATCCAATGGTGAGATGACGCTCGATTAACAAATTCAAGAACATCGTGTATGCGTAGAACAACAATAAGGTTTCCCATGGTATTTACTAGTGAACCGCAATTCATAAATCAAATCCAAATTTCTTCTCCACATCAAACTAAATACCAAATCTGTAAAAGGACAAGATGGTTTTCCATAAAACACGTGCAGACACATTAATTTTTCGTCATAATAAGGAAGACTATCAGTTAAACTTAGAAGTTTCATCATACTTCATTCAATGGGTTCATCTGTATCCATCATTTCCGACATGATTCATAAATATGCATATGAGAAATTGTTAAGATGTCAACAATATCAAACTCTCTTAACCTGTAATTTCAAAAGTAAATGCGTGATAAAAACCCTAAAGGCCGATCGATCGGATCCATCAAGTTTAAATCTTCAATACATCTCCCGCGGTCACAATGTCTTTCAAGACTCAACTCATGCATACAGCCATGACCCCATCTATTAGAATCACTATATGTATCTTGATAAGTTCAAGGGCACCTCAATTTACTCCGACGATTTAATGGATGTATCTCTCATTCATCTTGCTTGCTACCACGGCTATGTCCACTTTCCCCAACTTCCACAACCTCAGCAAATTTGACATGTTTTTCATCATAATTATTGTTCTGTGAACTGGTCGAATTTCTCGTGGAAACATTCCTGGCGTTCGCCATGGTGGCCGCGTTGGAGCTGCGCTGTGAAATCTGGCGATTATCAAGTTTGCTACTGCAACAACATAGTTTGATGCAAGTGTACATGTAAGTGAGGAACCAAAAGAGCCATGGAGAACCAACTAAGATCAATGCTGCTGGAAGAAACCAAGGTTGAGAAAGATTCGACACGAAAAGGTAGATGACAAGGAGGATTCCTCCGCCAGTTACACAAATACAAAAAATGCAAGAGATTAGAGGAACTCTCATATCCCCATACCTATCCTCCATTCTTCTATAATATTGATTCAGAATCAATCAAATCTCCCCGAATATAACTTAATATAGCCGACGACAATAAATTAGTCAAAAGCTTGAATTTGCTTCAGTAACATTCTAGGGCTGCACTTTCAATTGGTAGAAAAAGGTACACAACCCCATTCAATTTATCCTGCACTTGGAAAAGAGGAATAAATATAGTGATAATTTTAATTCTCTTTCTATTGTCATCTTTAGATACCTCCTCCTCTTTCTTCCAATTTAGGGTTGAGATGCAAGAAAGAAGCAACAAGATGGGCCAAAACAAAGAAGAAATCAAGAAGAGCGTTTAAAACGGAAGTTAGTTTATGAGATTGAAATAGCAATGACATTTTTTTTGTGGTACTCAACTCACGTTACATGCAAGGCAAAGAAGAATTATAAGTATATGCTATAACTTAATAGCAACCTGAAACACGTTTTTCTATTTTGTCCTCTCCACAATTAATTTACACCATACAATATATATATATATATATATATATATATATATATATACACACACATCACTAGGGGTGTACATAGGTCGGGTTGGATCGGATTTTACAATTACCAAACCAAATCAATTGTGTCAGGTTATTAAATCTAAAGACCAAACCAAACCAATAAAACTCGGGTTTTTCAATCTTGGTTTTCTCGAGTTTTTGGGTTATTCGGGTTTTTTCCGGTAAAATCTTCGTAGAACAAAATATATAACTCGTGCTAAAAATATTTCTTTAATCCTAGTAAGATACAACTATATAAAGTATTTTCCAAGAAAATAATACAAAATATGAGATGTGTCATGGCATTGTCCTAAAATATTCAACAATAAAGACAATAAAATTATGTAATATAAATATTGCTAATTAAAAAGCCATAAAAAAATAAACATAATCTAAAAGTACTAATTCATGCTAAAATAAGTAGACTAATAAGGGAGTATTAATTACATGACTAACGCTAAAGAAAAAATATAAATAGGTTATGCATTTTTATCTGGATTATTGCAAAACGAAAAAATAGATATTCAATATATTCCCGTTCGTAGTATTGAACTGAATGTCTTTTGTTAGCATTAATATTGATTTGATTTTGGTTTGAGCTTTTGTTAGTATTATTTAATTTACTAATATTAATGGCTATAAAACTTATTGGAACATTCAAAAGTTCTAAGTCCAACCTTGAAATAATACCTTAACAGATAAAATTATGAACTTTTTAAAAAATATTTATAAATTATATCACAATAAGTATATTTATATATTAAATATATCTAAAATTTCTATATATGTAATGTCAGGTTGGTTTAGTTTCGGTTTGACTTTTTTTAGTTAAAACCAAACTAAGCCAATTATGGTCGTTTTTTTTTTCCAATACCAAACCAAATCAAACCAAACTATAATCGGGTTTTTTTTTCTCTCGATTTGACTCGAATTATCGGGTTGGTGTGGTTTGTCGGTTTTCTTTGTACACACCTACACATCACATAGGCTTTTGCATTTTAGATGCATATCAGGTATAAAACAGAATACAAATCCCATTATTCATAGAAATAAATATTTTACTGTCACACCCCAACCTTGGGAGGTGTGGCTGGCACCCGATGCCCGAAGGCCCGAGCGAACC